TTCAGACACAATCTTGGGCCAGTTACTTAAATTCGTGTAACTGTGGTTTTTGTAATTGCAAAATGGGATCCCACTCCTTGGTAGGCCTACCTTGCCAATTTATTATGAAGAGCAGCTGAGGTAACATAGGTGCAATCAATATGAAAGCTGTAAAAAATACTCAAATGGAAGGCATCATTATTGACTTTGCCTAAATGCCAGACGTTAATAAATAAAACATTTTCCATTTCAAATGTGTTAAAAGTGTACAGCAGAGAGCCAGGCTTGCTATAGATTTTAATAAGGAAACACTTCTAATTAAGTCTTCAGGCATAACTTAAGAAAAAAAAATAAGGTCTTTGGAAACACTTATTTTAATATGTAATTTAAATGGTTTTCTGTGAAGAATAGAAACTGACCAAAGATATTAATGGGTAAGTTAATGGTAAAAAAAACTGAATTTATCAGTAGTCCTTTTTTTTTTTTAGTTACTCTTGTTTAACACATTTTATACGATTATCAAATATTCAGAAGTACCGGGAAAAGCAACCATTTTTAAAATGTTTTTTTTTCTTTTTAAGTTTTCCCTCTAGAAATTGGAAAGGGGGAAAAAAGTTTTTTATATTTGACTCCCTCCTATTACTGTCAACAGCAGTTAAGTGCATTTATGGAGACATAAGACAGCACAAAGATTCTTCTGTAATACATCAGAAGGCCCATCTTAAGTATAATTACATTACACAGCTCTGCTTAGTCATTAGTTTCTTGTTTAGCGACAATGTCCTTCATTTTAAATCCTTTGATGGTAATTATTTGTAACTATGCCCTTGAGTTCTGAAAGCATGTGTACCGCAGTCCTAGTGAACAATGGGTATTTCTAAACTACAACGCAATTAGTTTCCCGTAAGGGATCATACAAGAAACAGTCCTTCACAAGACTAAAAATTTGCAGAGGTTTCTGAATTGAGCTACAGTCCAAAATAAAAGTGTGTGGTTATGCATATATGTGTGCAATAAAAAACTAAAAGCAAGTTGTTAGGTACAAGGCATGATTTTCTTAACCCTTAATGACCATGGCATATTTTGATGTGTTCTGACCTGCTTAAATTAAGGCATATTAACACATGTGATAAATTGACCTAAAAGAGAGATTTTTTTTGAGACATTTCTAGTTTTACCAGTCTTTTTTGTACAGAAAAAGTGTCTTGTGTTTGTGCACTTATTCATTTACTGAGCATCCATATGTGCCAGTAACTGTGTTTAGGGGCAGAGAACACAGGCCCTAAGAGGGTCAGGGCCTGACAAGAGCTCACAGGCCCATTGTGGGGGAACAAAGTAGCCAACCCAAATAACTTGATTATTCTCAGGCCTGTGGGAAATCGCAGATCATGTTAATGTTAAAGCTCCAGCTTGTCACCCTCATCTGCTGATCCGGTAACTCCTCAAAGCCAGGTGTTTGGTCCAGAGCTGTCCTACAGTGTTTTTACTGCTCCCCTAGGACTTAACACTCCTCAGTGTCTCTTCTTCCGGTGTGACCAGCAGCAATATACAAACACTTTGGCTGTAAAGCCCACCGCCCCGCCTGGGGTTCCCGACACAGGGCACCCTCTCTGCATGCCTCGTTTGGACTCCAGCAAACGCTGGCATTGGGTCCTGGAGTTACTGCAGCTCTGCGGCATGTCACACCATCCTGTCATCCTTGTCTTCTCTTCTCTACGTCCCTCTCCCAGCTTTTGTTCTCTTTTGAAAGCCACATTTATGTTCTTCACATATGGGAAGTATTTTTGCTCAAAGCTAAAAATGCATAACTCATTCCTTGGCAATGATTTGTTAAGCAAGACTGGCTTCAGTTTGAAAGAAAAGCTTTCAGTCGGCAACAAAAAAAAAACGCAAATCCCACAGACCCCTCTGGCTACACTATGATTCTTATTCATAAAAGTGAAATACACACTTTACATGTGTGCATTAAATAAAGCCTCCTTTCCCAGGGCACGAAGGTAAGTATTGGAATCATTAACATTCTTATTATCAAGCTACACATGGTTATAGAAATCCAGAAACATTTGTATTTTCCTAAAACACTGACTTTTGAGTGGGAACCAGAATGATTTTTCTTAGGGATTTACCCGCTGGCCAGGTAGCGAAAAGAAAACACTGTAGAAACAATATTTACAGAATGCCTATTATTTGCAAGGCATTGTGTTAGGGGCTGTACACACAGTTTCACTGGATCCTTACTACCAACCCAAGAGGTGGGGGGTAGGTTGTCCCATTGGCAGAGGGCCAGACTGAGGCTTTGAGGTTAAGTCTCTTGCCCAAGGTCTTGCAGCCGTTCTATCAGGCTGCTCCTGACTGCTGAGATGCCAGAGGATTCCTATGGCTTCCACGCTCCTTGCATCATCTGTGTGTTTTCTTTTTCTGTAAAGCAGTGGAAATCCAAGGTCGGGTTTAGGTTAGACATGAGTTGCTCGAGAGCATGACTGAATGGTTCTCACCCACAGCATGAGCACTGTAACTCAAGGGTGGGTAATGGGGCAGAATTCCTCTCCAGCTGTTACAATGTGGTGGTCTCCACAGCTTTTCACTTAGACGGGTCTGGATTTGAATCCTGTCTCTACTATCACCTGAGGGCCTCTGGGAAAGCTATTTATTTCTTCTGAGTCTCAGCTTTCTCAACTGGAACATGACATCAATGTTGCTTACTTCTCAGTGTTACAGGAAGGATTGGAGCGAACATACAGGAAGGACTTGGCAAATAGTTGGTAATTCTTCATTCTCCTCCCTCCGTATTCCTAGCCATGTACAGCTACTGCACTGACCACTGCTTGGCAGGGGCAGGCCCAGGCCTGTCCTGGTTTCTGAGTTAGTGTTGATCAGTGTTAGCAGTTTAAGCTCATCTGATGGTGGTCCTGACATTTGCCTATATCCTGCTGCACCAAACATCTCTTGAGGTGCTGAATACAGCTCCCTAATCCTTCCCATCCCCCATCCATGCTCTGGCTGGGGTCTAGCTGAATAAACAGGGCCTCCTCCAGCTTCTAGGCCAGCCGGATTGGACACCTACACCCACCTTCACCCTGGACCATGCCCAAGATCTCTATATCCTTTGGATACTATAGAATGCTATTGTAGGGCTGGTCTTCACAACTGGCTGTGGGCATCCTACTCAGTACTTTTTATTGTTATTATTCTGAACATCTTCTAGGTTCCAAGCCCTGTAATAAGACAGGCATGGCCCAGGCAATTGAGCTAAGGGCTTTATATGTATTATCTCATTTAATCCTAATTAGAATCCTGTAAAGTGGGTACTATTAATATGTTCATTTTAAAAATGAGGAAACTGAGGCTGAGGAAGGACAAGGCTCTTTCTCCAAGTCACACAGCTAGTGAGAGGGCAAGCCATGTGCAGCATCCCATGCCAGGGCTCATAGTCAATACAGCCTATTGTTTTTCATCCCACCTGTCACCCCTCCACTGCTTCCGCCTTTCTTGGCTGTTTGATGTGCTCCATGGCAGCAGGCCCCTCCTTTTATTGCAGCATCTTGAAGGTACTGTGATTGGCTTATTTGTCCTTGTCTCTCATTAGACTGGGAGCTCCTTGAGGGCAGGAACTGTGTTTTATTTATCTGTGTATTCCAGTGCTCAGCATAGTATCTGGCACAGAGTAAGTGCTCCAAAAGATGCTTGTTGACTGAGTTGTACTGACTTTTTTTTCTACCTGCTGACTCACGTTGCTGAAATCCCATATGTCCTCTATCAAAACTCATCTGAGCTATGACAGCTCTAGCATCAACATTACCAGGCACTCTTGGGCTTTAAGTAGTGTGTGAGTGTGTGTGTACGTACATATGCATATGTTTGTGTGTGTTTATATGTGTTATGGCATCAACTAAAGCAACTATAGGTTTTTTTTTTCCCAAAAGCTTGTCTACATCAAAAGCTTTCAGCCATCACATTTCTTTAGTTGCCTTTAATCTGGAAAGTTCCCGTAGCCCTTCATAGCCTTTATGACATAAACATTTTTGAAGAATATAGTCCATTAAAAAATAGAATGCTGCCCATTTTAGGTTTGTCTGATGTTTCCTTATGATTAGATTCAGGCTGCACATTCCTAGCCAGAATGACACTTTGTCCTCAGGCTATCACATCTGGGGACCCATGATGTCCTTCTGCCTCGACACTGGAAGTTAATTTTAATCACCCAATCAAGATGTTGTCTTATGTCTTCTCTGTATAGTTGACATTCTTTCTCCTCTTGTAACTAATAAATAATCTGTGAGGAGATAATTTAAGATCGTGCATACATCCTGTTACTCATCAAATTTCCTGGATCCATCAATGATTCCTAACTGTATCTATCTTTAATATGATGATTACAAGATAACAATTCAGCAATTAAGTATAATATTTGATTCTAGACTGGATGCTGTATACAGGAGGGGAAAAAAATGCCACAAAGGACATTATTGAGTTACTGACATAATTGAAATATTAATGGCAGATTAAATAAAAGTGCTATGAGAAAGATAAATCTACTGAAATTTATTCTCAAATGACTCATAAAAAAATTCATGTAAGTATATTTAATGTATAGATGTGCGAATATATATATATGTGTATACATACACACACCCCTGTATACATATATATGTATGTGGATAAAACATACAAATGATAAAGCAAAGTTGAGGTAAATGTTTAAAGGTAAGTATTTGGATGTTCCTTGAATTCCTAGTCCTGCAACTTTTCTCTACATTTAAAATTATTTCCAAGCAACAAGTTAAAAACAAGCTTTTGAGCCACCTATAAACATTAGATGTTCTGCCTGAAGCAAGGAGAGTCATTCATTTAATGACTTACACTGAATCAATTAACAAGCACAAGTTTCTCCTGCACTAAATGATCCCCAAGGTCTAGTCCAATAGGATATCCTGGGGCCTGATGTGAAACTTCTGTCTCCACGATAGGGCCTGTGGGAACAGTCAACCAAATAAGGTCGCGAATTTGCAACGAAAGACTAGTTCTAGTTGCACATTCCTTAGTTTGCTTTATTAAAAGACAATAGGCATGATGAAATGATACCTAAAGGGTCTTGAATGTAAGGTGAAATGACACAGGTCCCTGACACAATGACATAGAATCTTCTGGCACTGGCACTTGCAAGCTCTGTTCAGTCCCCTTTCATGATGGCTGCATACTCCTTCTGGTGTTCAACTAGCTTCAGGAATACTTGGTATTTCTTGTCATAATATCTGTGGGAGAAAAATGAATATACTGAACGATCTCGGATAAAACTGTTACGCAGCTTCCCCTTACATTTAGAAGAACTGGACTATATCTTTTATGGTTTTGTAGACACCTCCTCTTTTTGGAATATTTATGGAGCATCCTGAGCAATGGGTAAGCACAATTCACATCTATTATTTATAACCTACAAGGGGTGTTATTATCTAAGCAAAAGCCATGGGAGAGCTAAAATTTGGCAGGGCTGGAAAACAAACTCAGGTCTGACTTCAAAGCCTCCACCGTCATGTACTAGAAGGCCCAGGCTTAATACACAACCTTTCCCATTCCCAACTTCAGTGAATATTTCATAGATGACCAGCCCCAGGTTTGATGACTGATTTAAAACCACAGCCTGACCAGGGATGAGCCTGGACATTTTAATCACCCGTTGCGGGTTCCACACCTATATTTCCTTTGCAGGCTGACTCATCCAGGAGGCCGATCAGAACTTGGTGTTGGCCATCAGTCAGATGATGGAAGGGAAGCCCAATCCCAAAGGGATAATAGCAGCTCAGACAAATTCAGCTTGAAGGCTTGCAACGTCATCCTTGCTCCTCTTGGTCTGGGGTTGCTGACACGAGGTGAGGGGCTGATGGAGCCGCTTTAGCACATCTTGGTAGATTCTGGGGTGCTCTAAAGTCATTCTAAGGGAGCTTTGGTGTGAGCTTGTGAATTGGGGGACAGAGATTGTAAGAGTAATGCTGGACACACACACAGGGACTTCTCCCTGTAACATGCAGAGCTAAGTAAATTAATAGACATTCCCCCAACATTTCTGCTTTAAGCATAAGAGCTGTAATTGGGCCAAATATGGAGTTAATAGGCGGACTCTAAAGCTGGGGCTTGGATCTCAGTTTGGCTCATTACTAGCTGTGTGAGGTTGGGTATGTCAGTTGATCTGTTTGTGCCTAAATTCCCTCACCTGTAGTAGGAATAATTATAGGATCTACTTCAACAGAGCTGCTATGTGAATTCAATGAGATAATACATGAAAAACACTTTGAACAGTGCCTGGCTCAAGGTAAATGATATCAGTGCTGGTTATAATTACTATTTCAAAATGATAATATTCCAATATTACCATCAATCTTGGTAATGTCAATGTTCTAGTAACACCTGCTCTATGAGCCTCCAAATTTATTAATCATAGAATTATTTTAGAGACAGCAATTTTCTCCTTCTAGTGATACCGTACAACAATTTAACATTAAGCAATTCTTTCATTATATGAGATGGATTTCCTCACTTTGGAAACTCAGAAGTGCTGAAAGGGAAAAGTATTGGCTTTACTGGTAGGCAAGCCTTAGTAACTTTGGGCAACCTCTGTAAATGGTCTGAGATTTCTCTGCTCTAAGAGGGAGATAAGAGTACCTGTTATAGAGTGACTGAACTTTAGACAAGGAAATGAACATGAATTCTCTGTGAGCTACAAGGGCTCACAAATGGGAACTAATATTGTTCTTACAACTTTTATATTATCTTGGAATGCTAAGAGATAGACTATTTTTCCTTTTTTATACAAGGGAAGCTGAGGTCCAAGGTAATTTCTTCCTGTGCTTTTCATTTCCCAATTTTTTTTTATTGTGGTGAAATACACATAACCTGAAATTTACCATTTTAGCCATTTGTAGGTATATATCTCAGTGGCATTAAGTACATTTCCATTACTGTGCAGCCATCACCATCACCCATCCATAGAACTCTTCTCATCTTGCAAAACTAAAACTCTGTACCCATTAAATAATAACTCCTCCTCCCTTCCCCACAGCCCCTGGCAACTGCCATTCTACTTTCTCTATGAATGTGACTACTTTGGGCACTTCCTGTAAGTGGAATCATACAGTATTTGCCCTCTTGTGACTGGCTCTTTTTACTTAGCATACTGTTCTCAAGGTTCATGTCAGTCCTTCCTTTTTAAGTCTGAATAATATTCCACTGTATGTATATACCACTTTTTCTTTATCCATTCATGTCAATGGACACTTGGGCTGCTTCCATGTTTTCACTATTGTGAATAAAGCTGCCATGGGCATGGGTGTACAAATAGCTCTTTGAGACCCTGATTTCTGTCCTTTTTGGTATATACCAGAAAGCAAAATTTCTTAATCAGATGGCAATCTTATTTTTAACTTTTAAGGAACCACCATACTATTTTCCATGGTTGGCTGCATTTTACTCTCCCACCAACATTGTGCAAGGGATCCAATTTCTCCAAATCCTTATCAACAGTTGCTATTTTCTGCTTTTAGATAGTAGCCATCCTAATGCATGTGAGGTGGATATAAGTTTTCATTTGCATTTCCCTAATGACTTGTGATGTTGAGCATCTTTTCATGTACTTATTGGCCATCTGTATATCACCTTTGGATGAATACCTGTTCAAGTCTTTTGCCTATTACTGATTTGGGTGTTTGTGTGTGTGTGTTTTTAATTTAGTAGTTCTTTGTATATTCTGGATATAACTTTTAAAGCAGATATATGATATACAAATATTTTCTCTCATTCCATAGGCTGCTCTTTATTCTGTTGGTAGTCCATTTTGAAGTACAAAATTTTCCAGGGCACGTTGAAGTGACTGCTCTACGTTCACATATAAATTCGGCTTGAGCATAAGGCTGAGATTTGGGATTTTCATAAAAAGCGTGTTGAACCACAGTCACTAGATTATGCTGTGATCCTGACTTTTAAAATCAACTGAATTCCCTCTCTTCCAAGTTCTCCCCATACTCAGTCAGTGGCATCTGTAACCTAAGTAAATGTCCCATGCAGATAACGTGATTTGAGGCAATGAAGAGGTAGGTGTGTGACTTGCTCTGAAGGAAACCGGCCCTCTTTCTACTTGCAAATCTTAGGGCTGCCTGTAGATGGTGCTAAAGTACCACGAGTGCCGTTTCCCAGAGCCTGGCTGGCGGCTTGACAGCAAGAAGGGTACTTTTCAGATTTTCAAAAATCTTTCAGGATTTCCAGAAAGAACTTAAAAGCAGACTTCTCTCAAAAGTCTTGGGAGGCTGAAGAGATGGAGAAGAATAATCTATTCATAATTTCAACAAAAGAGGGAAGCTGCTAGCCCATGTCTCCCCCTGCCACACGTAACTCAGACCTCTCCAAGTTCCTGAGTTGAGCTCCCCCTCCTAATGGCCTGCCTTCTGACCCCATTACTTACGGAAGGGTTTATCTTCAGGAGGTTAACAACCCAACTCCATTTGGAGAGCTTCTTTAAGGAATGAAAAAGAATTGGATTGCTTTCTGCATGGACATTTCCAACTCTGATAATACTGATAGTACTTGGGTGGGATCAGCACCTTTGCCTGTTACAGGAGGTGGGATTTGCTTTTATGTCTTAATCTCAAACCTAAAATTATAAAAGGCACTTGTACAATTGTCTCATCATCTTCAAACTCACCACCAGTGACTTAATATAGCTCTTTTTCATCTTTTACCTGGATTAATGACAAAGCCTTCTATCTGATCTCTGGGCTTCTATCCTGATCCCCTAATTCATTCTATCCTGAAATCTGCAGTTGACCAGGTCCCACCACTGCCTGAAATTCAGTTTGTCCATTCTACCTGTAGGAGGAAGTCCAAGGTCTTTAGTAAGGCCTCAAAGCTAGTGAGATGACCCCCACCATTCTCTCCACATCGTTTCACCTTCTGCCATTCCCCAGCTCCTACTTTGTATTTTGAAATTATGAATTGTTTACATGAACATACCAGGCTGTTCCCACCTTTAACTTTGCATCTGTCATTTCCCTCTACAGAGAATGTCTTTGCCCATACTGGCCTGTCCGACAGTTTCTTCTAAGCATTTAAAGTCAGTTTAGACTTAACCTCTTCTCAAACCTTTTCCTTATTGCATACAGGTCACATTCCTTCTTCCTTGGACTACTTTGTCACCTGGTAATACTTCTATTGTAGAACTTATCTCTTCGGTCTGAAATGATCTATGGGCATAAATAAGATTGTGTCTTATTCCTCTCTAAGTCCTTCCTAGAGGCTAATGAGCATAATACCTTGAATATACCAGGAGATCAATAGAGTGAAAATAAATAAATTTTATGAATTGGGTTAAAAATCAAGGTTATGTAGCCGTCAGTGCCAAGCAATGCAAAGGGTGGAAGAAAGGAGAAATGCTACTATTGTCCTTTGATGGAGGATATAAGAAATCCACTTTTAGAAGAGAGAAGACCAGATTTTTTGCTAATGACCTAGGGAAAAGAACACTGTTCCAAGGGTTCAGAAGTCTGTATTTGACCCCCAGGTCTGGCCCTGCCTGGCTTGGTGATCTTAGGTATTTGACAGTGACTTTACCTATCTGGGATTTCATTTTATCCAATATTAAATGAAAGATGGTGTTTGTTGATGTCCAAGGTTTAGTTGAGCTCGTAATTACACGTATTTATATGGCCTCATTCCTCAGCATTGCATATAAAAGAACACAAACTTACCTTTTATCCTCAAGTCTGGGAAACACAACTTTCCCAACTTTGCTCATTCTGGCCATTGCCTCCTGTCAAATGGAAAACAGAACACAGAGAGCTGAGTTGGAAGCTGAAACCAGACAAGGCTTGTCATGGGCAAGAACATTCTAATTAGAATTCACGTCCCCTTAAGACAGTCCTTTTTTTTTTTTCAACTTATTTTTCTCTGGTGATAAGAATAAAACCCAATGATGATTAAAAGTTACTTCTATGAACACAAAGCCTGGGCTTAATAAATAGTATTATTGAGGGTTCCATGTCATAAGCAACCCAGAAGGCAAAGCACTTTTGTGATCACCTGCAGGGAACAGAGGGAGGAAATTATTTTACCTTCTTTAGCCTGAACACAGGAGCTTAAAAAGTCAACATAATCAGCCACTGCATGCACTGTTTACTTAACTCAAGATAACAATACCTGGATGGGACCCACTTTGCACCTGCACTTTAGGATAAAATGTTTAAGACCTTTTCATTTCACCTTTAGCTCTTTTTCCAGCAGTGTCTGAAATTGTGAGTACGGATGTGAGACCTCTGGGCTGAGTTTAATTTACTTGAGTTCTGAAATGTGACTTCAGGACATTCTTGTCTTTAAACAGGCTAACTGGGAAGACAGCAAGCTGTAGTGTCTTGGTGGATATGGTCTGGGGTGTACAGCATCAAGCTCTGCCGTGGATTGTGTTGGCTCCATCATATGAATGGGAGGGTTAGATTTCCTTGGGCAGTTCTCTGGATGCTGGTGAGACTATGGGAAAGTTAAGGGGAATGGAATGAACCTAAACTTTGTAGTCCAACAGATTTGACTAGGGAGACCACAAGCTCTGGCATGACAAAGGCCCCAGGAATGGACTGCCCCCCCTAAGCAGGGCTATTGTTAAGGACGTAGTCATTCTGGGGTCACATATGTACAACCTCATATTCTATATATTTCTTAATCACTCACTATGTACCAGACATTGTGAGAGTGATACAGATTTGCATAAGACATATTCTTTGTCCTGGAGAAATTTACATACTAGCTGGGGAGGAATAAAATGTAAAAAGCTGACAATTACACAAAATGTGAAAGTCCCTGGGTATCTTCAAAGCATATCCAAGTGTTGCCTGCCCATCCTTGCCACCTTACCATGATTACATATACATTTTAATTTGCCACAAATTTCTTTCTGGAATGCCATGCATTCGCTGGTTTATGTGCTTGGAATTTGTTTTCTCCACTCCGTGCCCTACACACAAAGCCAGGTAACTGTTTAATCTCAGCACCTAGACTATCCTTAGGGTGCACTGAAGCACCTTCTATGTGCCAAGCCCAATATGCAATATATATGGAAGACACAGGTGAAAGATTTGTGGGTCCTTTCATCAAGGAGCTCACCATGCAACGGAAAAGACATTTCCTGTAATCAATACAGAGTGTGATAAATACTCTTGTTAGAAGCAGATAAACTTCCTTTGGGTAGTTATCCAAGGGCTAGGGCGCCTGCCACTTTTCCACCGGCCTCATCACTCACACAGACTTCCAGTCCAGCGAGGACGCTCTGCCAGCTCTTCCCCCAGGAGGGCACGAGCATTCTGAACGAGTTAATCTGGTTTCCTGGCCCTCCGGGGATTTGACAGTGCTGATTGTGAGATCAGAGACGCCGAGAGGAGCAAGCACATTGGCAGCAGAAACACTCTTAGGTAAGGAGGAGATTTGAAAAATTATGAAAAATTACTGGAAAGGAAACCATGGCGAGAAGGTGAGAGCTAAGAAAGGGCAGTCTGGGCTCTTTGTGCAGAGGATCCAGTGTCTCTGCAGACGTCCCGGCCGCCCCGCTCGGCGCGGGAATTTCGAGAGCTGCGCCCCGCAGACGGGCGTCAGCACGGCCTCCTGCACGGGAAAAGCCTCCACTGAGCTGGCCCCGGTCGGCTCCGTCGCCAGCTCGGCCGCCCGTCCTCGCGGGGTCTTGCTTCCTCCCTCAGCGAGGCTCCGCGGCGCTTGCAAGGAGGACTCATCGCCTCTGGATCTTGAAAATGCCCTCGGGGATCTCCTCTGGGTGGCGCTTACGCCCCGGGCGTGAGGCGGCGTCGCAGGACTGGCTTCTCCGGTGGGATCCGGGACCCGTGTCATGGAGAAGGTGCTCCGTGAATGCCCCTTCTCTCCCCACGGTAACAGATGTGGGGACAATCGGCGGGCAGCGGGAAATTCTTTCCTCTTTTCCTTACATTACCTTTGTTTTTTTTTTGGAAAAAAAATGGTTGAGGAGCAAACACCAGCAACAGAGATTCAAAAGGTTTAAAAAGCGGGCATTTTGTTTCTTTTAAAAAGTACAGACTTAAATATTAAACTCAGTCCACCGAGGTTTCTCTGACCCACCCCTGCTGCCTGCCTCCCACCTAGATGGGGGTATTTGCTCCCACAGCGACTTGTGCTTCCATCTTTCTGTTAACACATCAGCCTCCCCAGCTAGACTGTGAGCTCCTTAAGACAAGAACTGTTATAATTATTTTCACTGCCAGACTCCGCATCTGGTGTATCATATGCATTCAGGGAATGTCTGCAGGATGAGTGACCTTAGGGATCATACATGTGACAGAAGGCTAAAATGGACGTTTGGCTGAGATCTAAAGATGACGGATATAAGACACCAAAGTGAACTGGAAACAGACCACCCTGAAGAATTTGAAAAAAGGCTGGTTGAGGACCCATTAGTCAACTCTTAAACCTTTCATCCTTATGGAAGGTCAGAAAAAGAGATGGATTTTAGGAAAGAGTTGTTGATTTACTGCATATCAGGCCTCCTTCCTTGGAAGGGGTGGAAGGGTTCTGCCGGCTCACACGTCAAGAGAGCAGGGCTTCACTGAGACCAACAGGGAGCCTGGTGTGTGCCCGTGGGGCTGCGGGGCACAGTGGATTAAGTGTGGCTCCTGCTGGAAGAGAAGGACCAGCTGGCAGCTGTACAGGGAAGGAGCGGTTGCACGGGGATCAGCCGGCACTGCCAGAGTCGGTCAGACTTCCGAGGGCGTGGCTGGTTCCCAGGGATCTGAAGTGGCCCACACATGGCAGGGCTGTCATACACCCTATCCACCGTGGCCACCTAATGAGGCAGAGAGAGTCTGCATAAAGAAGGCTGAGACGACCTACTGTATTTCTAAGGAATAAAAAGAGTAAAAAATCTTCTAGAATAGACTGGCATTAACAAGGTCAAGATAGTCCAAGTGAGAGGTTTCCAGAAGTAGACGGTTTCCAAACAAAACCTACGATGGAACCTAGCTATAAATGTCCATTAAGCGAAGAAAGCATGAAACCCATTTATGGCAGTGCTGATCAGATAAGAATTCTTTTGCACCCGTGATCTCCCTTCCCTTACACCCTCCAACCACCTCGGAGGCATGAAAGAAGCTCATGCGCCGGAGAGAAAGAGCATGAGGAAGGCAGGAGATCGAGGATAGCTGCCTGCCGCACGTGCAGCAGGCCGCAGCTGCAGGAGGCCGAGCTGTCTTATCTTCAGGTGGAAATCGATGTGATGATTATTAGCTGTTCCTTGATATTCTAATTCTGAATTCTGGCTGTCTCGCAACTTCAAAAGGCCATAAAACTTGTATTATCTAAGTGGCTCTGTATGTATCTAAGAAAGTAATGGAACTACCGGAATTTTTAAACAGGGCAGAGAAAAACTAGCTCTGTGGCCCAAATGGAAGGGGCAGTGGGAGTAAAAAGTACAGCCGATCCTCAAGTCCATCTCAAGAATTGTTGCAAACACAAATTACATGTGCATGATAAACACTGATGACAATGTACTAAAATGGGAAAAGGTTCAAGAGCTGAGGTGTTGATTTTTTCCTCCTAATTTTTTTTTCTGTGTTTTCTAAGGTTTTTAGAGTAGGATATATAGATTGGATAATTGTAAAGAAAAGTAAAAATGTGCTGGATTCTAAAAAACAGTCCTGCTTATACAGGCAGTTGAAATGACTGGTGCTCATGCCCTTCTCCCCTGGGAGGCAGGGCTCATTATGGGGATTTGACACAATATGGAGAACACCCAGAGAATCAGCGCTGTCATCAGGCACAGCAGCACTGAGTTTTCCAATTTCACCAAATAATTAACATAAAACTGGAACCTCATGAAGCCACTGGCTGCAGTAAATCTGGAAACTACCACAGCACAATATGAATTTATTATGGAAATGCTGACACGTGCTAAATATAGTCACCCCCCACAATATATTTCCGTTCAAAGGGTTTATTTGAAGTTGGCCTCAAAATTCATACTTTTTTGTCAGCAGGCAGGAGCTGGACAATCTGATTTTGCAGCACGCTACCCTCTTTGTTTAAGAGTCTAGACAGCACAATGAATACAGTGACTTTTCTCTTTCCTTTTTGCCCACACAATGAAAGCTTTTTAAAAACAAAATATTTTGTAAAATCGCATTTTAATCACTTCTTTTCTTTCTCTCTATAAGGCAGAGCTATAAATAAACCATGAAAGTTCACATTTGATCATCACTTTTGAAAGCAAGTGAAGGGTTTCTGTAGGAAAAAATAGGGGCCCTGTACCATCGCCATGAAAGACGGCATTCATGGGGTCTGACCCTCCCTGCCATGTCGAGGCCGAGATACCAGTCCTCACACACTGCTCGCCGCGTCTCTGGCAGCAGCATTGGCAGTCCTAGGTCTGTGTGGGCGCGGGAAACACCCAATTCTCATGTGTTACGGCCTGGCTGGGGAGCTACCAAAGGGCTTTAGGCTACTCCGGGGTGAGTTACCCAGGGAAATTTGGTTAAGGAAAGGAAGGGGCTCTTTAGCGCCTATGTAGAAGATGGGGGCCCCAACCCCATGAATGGCAGATACACTAATGCTGGCAATTTGGGGAGCAGGTGATCTGCTACCTTCTGCCCTGTGCAGGGAGAGGGGAACAATGGCTTGAAGATTCAGCTTAGCCTGTGAGGTAGTCTAGAACCTTGGCACCACAGGGACTGCAAGCTTGGCAGTGTCCAGAGTCACAGCTTACAGGGGAGGATGACCAGGCGCTGGTGTGGTGGCAGCTGCTCT